CAATTTATTTGTGATGATATTGAAATTATTCAGATGTTGAGCAACAGGCACACCTTCCGCCATCTTCAGGTTGAATAATTTTTTCATCAAGTACACTTTGTTATTCACCGATCGTTTTTCATACATACCTGATAAAGTTGTCATGGGATCTGCAGTCGTCCTCTCCTTGATGACGTTGTGGGCAACGGATCTCGATAGAATCATTTGAATAACACTCATAACTTGTCGATCCAACAGATTCCAACTGGCCTCATCCATCTTCTCCGGTCGTTTTCCCAGTAACAGAAGATGAAATTTCTTTCCATAGAGGTAGTCCTCTATCTGCATCCTCCAACAACTAAATCTGTGTCGTCGAACTTCTCGATCCCCGAAACCTTCACTCTGTCTCTGGTCATCTTTCTTCCTCAGATCTAAACCAGGGCTCTGATACTAATTGTTGTGAAAAAATGATGGTAATAAAACAAAAAATTGGATCGAAAAATTATAAACCAGAAAATAACGCACAGATTTACGTGGTTTGGCAAATTTTCCTACGTCCATGGAGCTACAGTGAATTTTATTACTTCAAAGAATTACACCGTTGAACACCTCGACGTTTACAAGAAAAGCTCTCCCTTTCTTCTCTCTTCTCCCTCGACCTCCTCTCTCCTCCTTTAACCGTGAGTCACCGAAGAAGAGTATACCGCAAGGAAGAGGGAAGTCATCACCACAAGCAAATCACAGAAGAGACGGGGTGAGACTTGGAACCTTGCAATTCTATTTTTGCTCGCTGTGAGCCAACGCCTTTTAAGGAATTGCGAAAGGAGAGAAGTCACTATTTAATCCAATTTATTCTGCAAGCACTTAATGGTGGCGGGACCCTCCATCACATCAAAAAGGAATTTATCAATTTTTTATTAACCGCCAAAGGCAACTTCCTTATTAGCTAAAGGACAGAGGCGGAAAGAGCATCATTGAGTTGGGTCCCCCTTAAGAAAGCATCACCTGATAAAACAAGAAACATAGAAGTTCAATTAATTTCTACAAGTGGATCAGAGCTCCACTAAACCTAACAATTCTCCCACTTGGAGACAGATATATTGGCTACATCATCCACTGGCTACACCTTCCTCAAACGTGATATCTTCCACCTTTGCAATTCAAATCTCTGTCTTCATGTTGGAAGACCAACTAAAATCAAGCATAACTTCAATTTCTCAAGTGTAATACCCTTAGTCAACATGTGAAGTTGCACACAACTTCAGTTTCTCAAGTCTGACACCCTTAGTTAACATATCAGCAGGATTCTTGTTTCCACAAATTTTCTCAAGTAACAATTGTTCGTCATCTAACAATGATCGAATGAAGTGATACCTGATCTGAATGTGTTTAATCTTGGATTGAAATGAAGGCTTCAAGAATCAAAAGTTTAACATGATTTCTATGAAAAAGTTTAACATGATTTCGACAAAGCACAAACAAATATAAACGGATGGTATAAATCAAATTGGAGGTTTTAACGCACAAAGCCCAAAAATATAAATGAGCCTTCAAATTTGCATGAGAAAGTTTAACATGATTTCCACAAAGCACAGACATATACATATACTGGTATCTATTTTTAATGATTTGGGGTCTTCTTCCCGGCCGCACCAAGACAGGTGCACATGTTAGCTCACCTGCAAGGCAATTTTGCAATCATTGGCGATGTTCAGCATCAAAGAACGTAAATCCAAACACAAAAAAAATGTGAAATAAATACGACATATTGCAAAATCCATTTTTTCTTCCTCTGTAAATTTTTTACTTAAATATGGATTAATTAAATCTAATTTTTAGGTGAGTTTAATAGATTTAGTGCACAATAAAATTAAATTCTGATAAAATGTCAAACATAAGAAATGAATTCAAATTGTATTATATTAAATCATTTCAAACATCTTCTTAAATTTAATAGCACCAGATTTTAAAAATCCATTTGCTAAATCCTGCGTGCAGCCAAACACCCCCATAGGATGTTCTGGCTGCATAAAACAAAAATAATTGCATAAGGGTACATAGTGATGGTGGTCTTGGGTCTTCCTCCACACCGTGTCAAGAAACGCAAATGGGAGTTTCACCTGCACGAGAAACTTGGAAACATGAGATTTCTCTGCCTCGCCCAAAAAATACGTACAGATACTTAAACTTATTATTGGTAGTCTGGCAAGTTTGCAGCTGCATTTATTCCTTTATACAAGTGCAAGGCATGAGGATGAAGGATGGCAGGATGAGATTTGGGAGGTCGAAATTAGACACAAATCTCTCTTTTTTCACATTCATTTTTTCTTATTTTTTTCTTAAGAGAGAAAAAGAGAGGTGAAGAGTGAGTATCTCTACTGAAAGAACGGATTTCGCTCTGTTTGCGTAAATATATAGAGACAAAAGAGATATAAGAGAGTAGGGAGGGAGCGAGTATAGAGAGTGAAAAAGAGGAAAATATTACATCAGTACTACGCACGCAAAAATAAAGTGCGTAGCCAATCAAAACACGCCACGATATCTCGCGCGGTAGAGCAAAAAAAACGGCGCAGTAACACGGGGAATATTCTCTCCTGTGTTATTCATGTGTTATTGCGTGTTATTCATGTGTTATTGATGTGTGTTACTGCGCCATTTTTTTCTCTGTCGGGAATATTTCCCGTGTTATTCAAGTGTTATTCAAGTGTTATTGTGTGTTATTCATGTGTTATTGTATCTTGGGAATATTCATGGTGTTATAATAACACAATAACACATGAATAACACATGAATAACACACAATAACACATGAATAACACGGGGAGGAATATTCCCCGTGTTACTGCGCCGTTTTTTTTCTGCGTCGCGCGGGATATCGTGGCGTGATTTCATTGGGTACGGACGTTCCTCTACGTGCGTAGTACTGATGTAATATTTTTTCGAAAAAGAGAGGGAAAGATAGATAAGAGATTGAATAGAAAGAGACTGAAATGGTGATGGTGTCCGGACCAAGGTTGCGGGAACAGTGCAGCGAGGGGAACCGGCATTGGAGGTTGGTGTGGCAGAGGAGATGCCGGGCTGAAGTCGAGTGGGTGTACAGTGGAGAGCGGCTGGTATGTTTCTAGGGGTCTGCTGGGGTGAGCCGGGCAGGGTGCTGGAGAGGAGCAACAGGGAATTAGGGAGAGCCGAGAGGCTGGTAAAAGCAGGCTGGAGTGAGGAGGCACATGAAAAAACGCGAGATTGTGAGGTTTTGGTCTTTACTTTAGATCGGGAGAGGGCGAGATGCGGCGCGCGAGCACCGTAAAAACGAGAGTAGGGCTGTTGTTCCGATCCAACTCGAAATCAAATAATTGAAGTGAGCGTAAATGCGTAAGCGGACGTTGGATTGTAAGGGGTATCGATGTAAATGTTCCAAACAACTATTTTATTTTTTCTAGGTTGTGTCCAGAAGAATAGGATTTAAAATTTACAGGTGGAAGTTGGATTGTACAAAAGAACAAGGAAAAATTAATCTAAGTTATATTTTAATTGAATGTACAACCAAAAGCAGCTTAATCAGACCAGTATGGCATGAGTGACCTTTGATTTATGATGAAGGTTCAAGCAAAGGTCGGTTGGAGCTGAAGATCAAGCAAAGCCAAGTACAGAAGGTGGAATACAGAAGGCTAGATACGAATGTCCCTGGAAGTAAGGATTCTTGGCCGTTCATAATCTCCTGCTGACTTCGAAGAGAAAATTTGAGACAGGATTTCGGTTTTAATGATGTTGTGACAAAAAAAAATCGCATGTACCATATAAGCAAGGCATAATAGAGACAGAAATTTGTCTTTTTTTTAAAGAGACATTCCTCTGTAAAAGGGGGTATTAAATGTAAAACAGATTCTACTCTTTGGATCCATAAATCTCCAATTATTGCAATTTAGTTCATTTACTCAGCTATTAAGCTTCCTCTCACCTTCTCTCTCTCATTTATTCATCTTAGCTAAGCTCTATTCATTGGGAGTGATTCAAATAAAAAATGGGATTCATAGAGAAGAGAAGTCGCATAAGAAGAACTGAGTCACAAAAAAGTCGCGAGCAACATGGAATCAAGGATTTTGTAAGCCAACAAATCAATGAGCTCAATTAGCAGATCATGAAAATGATCAGAGGAACTCTGACTGAATTAATATCACTATCAACTCAACCAGCAGTCGGTTCACATCTGAGATTTGAGCCAGGTACCAACACCAGGAGAACCCTTTTGCTAGCACGTGGTGAAGAGGACGAGACATACTATCCTGACAGCAAAGGGGAGTGAGGAGACATGACAACTGTATCAGTTGAAGAATGTCTTCTCGAAGGAAATCTCTGATGTTGAGGCTCCCAAACACTTCAAGATTCTAATCCTGGAATCTTATTAGGGGCGGTTGAATCCTTCTGACAACACTACCAGTATGCAGAATAAACAATGCATTGAAGTGTCACTCTTTTTTATGACTCTGACGGAATCTGCCCTCTGATGATTCAACAGCTTGTCATTAGGAGTAATCACCTCATTTGCAAAATTCAAAAAAAAATATTCATAGCACAATTCGCCGGTGCACGGAAGCCTCATAGAAAATTGCAATGTGAAACAAACTTTATTTTCATATATTGTAAGAGAACTCATGACAAACAGTTGCTCGTTCATTTTACAAAAAATGCATGAAACAAAGCATATCACAAAATGTATGGTGGGTTACAAGTAATGTTGAACCTATGGAAGTAGAGTGGGAATTTGAAAAAAGGTAATTTTGAATTTTTCACTTTGGTTGAGATTTGTATTCTTAGTTGTGAATAAGGCTTCTAAAATGTGCAGTGATCTGCATTATAAAGTTGAAAAAGGAACCATCAGATAGACTTCCATATGAACAATGGAAACATAAGCTATGATTTACGTACTAATAATATTCAATGAAACCTACCATTTTCAATGGAAAAGAAATCATGAAAAGCAGTGCATATGGCATTGTACAGAAACAGCATGAAACAAAACATACCAGAAGGCAAATATGGTGGGTCTGGGGTAATGTTGAAATTATGGTAATTGTGAAGGATCTCGCATATCTCACCAGGACGAAGCCATCGGTTTTTCGCCTCAAACAAGATCTGCTGCATGTCTGTTGACAGAGTATAAATATTTTTGTTAAGTTAGTTTGTAAAAACAAGAACGAGTATATCCACATATGAGTACCACTCACCATAAAACGTGATTACTTAATTACAATATGAAAATTCATCTAAATGAAAATTCTAAGATTTTTTTTTATGGCATTAGTCAAAATATAAAATTGGAGTTCTTTTTATGGACCAAAAAGAACACCAGTTTGATTTCAAAACAAATTTCTGAAGCCAAGCACCAAAATCAATGTGCATCCCGGCTAAAAGTATACCAACTAATTGAAGCATAAGAAACAAAGACACTCTACTCAGGAAACCCATGCCAGACAAATCATGAGGCATGTCACAATTTTTTTAATTAAAAAGAACTTTAACAACATGTGTTCAAGTGCTAACACATAAACAATGTGGATCTAATTATTTGAATTCGCAATTAGTAAATTGATATATTATCCCTATAAAACATGAGAAGTATAATTTAAAACGCTTTTGGAATAATGAAGGATCAAAAAATTATATCATAATGATTTTTCTAATATTGAGCTTCTAACACTTAAGCATCAGTTATCTTTTTATATTATTGACATGCACAACAGTATTAATTTCTCATATTTAAGTATTCTTGTTGATCTTACAAAACAGCTAGTTAAGAAAAAAATTGTATATTTATCTTAGTTTACAAGTTTGTTATCTTGACATTAATTTTATGAGTTGTTAATCCTGTAGTTGAATACCATTTTCTGCAAAGATAATTGCTATCAATTATGTAATTGAATGGGTGATGATTGATTTAATGATTACACTGTAACTAACACTGAGAAAAATGTGTTTGATTTGATTGTCAATAAGACTATCATGCAATATTATCAAAAAATTTAAAATAGAATGAAAAGCAAGTAATATTGTTCAATCTATCAATATAATGAAATAGAATTCTTAGTTTCTGAAATTAATTTATTTATATGATTAGTTTGTTCCGCCTCTCAGAAGTGATGAACCATACTTTAACTAACGTAGATGTTGTACTTTAGGTTTAGCAAAAGAGATTAGGTTCAAATATTCATCCAAGGGATGTAAAAGAAAAAGAGACAGCCATTAGAGATAAATCAAACGGTAAATTTGGGAAAAAATTTGCGTGCGATAGACATATGCAGCGCTGCGTACGATATTGAGGTTATACCGAGGGTACAAAGGGGTTATATCCTCGGTATAACTCATTGTAACCTCCATGTAACCTTCTGTAACTTACCTGTAACCTACTAATAAATTCTTAATATATGATAACAGAAGCGCGAAACTTACTTTAGGTTACAGGTAGGTTACAGAAGGTTACAGGGAGGTTACAAGAGTTATACCGCGGATGTAGCCCCATGTACCCTCGGTATAACCCCAATATCGTACGCAGCGCTGCGTATAGCGCAATTTTTTTCCGTAAATTTGGGGATGAAAATTTTTACCAACAGTAAATTTTATGTTTCTCAAAATTATATAATTAATTAAATGATAACATACATTATTAAATTTTGCTTCTCTATTTAATATTCTGAAATAATTATACATTTAAAATTAGAAACAATTCACTTGCAATGAATATAAATCACAACATCAATCCGAAAACCTAAGAACAGGAAAAAAGACAACATATGAACGTAAATGAACTTTCGCAAAAGCTTTAGACAATAAAATTCGATAAAGAACACAAAAGAAATTAAGAACAGGGAACGAAAATAATACCCGGTTCTGCTCGAGGCGTCTGCATCTTCGAGAAGAAATGCGAGCATAACCATCAATCGAATCTTGTTCTCAACCAATACGCATGTTCGCGGGATCATCACTCTTCATTTGGCCTTTCTCCAAGCTCATCCCGTCAGCCACCTCTAAATGATCTTCCCGCCGGCCTCCAAATCCAATGTATACCGTTGGCTGCAGCTGTCCGGCCGACCCAAAGAAGAAGAGAGGAATAGAGGTCGATCTCCAGAACCCTCTTCCACCTCACGCTCCTTCTTTTCGCTCTCAGCCGGAAACCACCTTTCTCTCCGATGAAACTATTTGCATTGCAAGCTTGGCTGCGAACAACCAGAAAACAAATACCGGTAAAAAATGATGGGGCCATTTACAAAAATAACAGCTAATTCTTGTATATTTACATATCTAACACCTACACTTAACTTTTTTTAATTTAGGCCGTTCAAATATTTATATTATCTCAAAAATGTGATTATCTTAGCTTCTAAAAATATATGTAAAAAAATTAAGGTTTTGGTGTTATATAGATATGTAAATAAAGAGAAATTGAGTGGTTGGTATGCATGTAAATCTTTCTAATGGAAATAAAACAATAGGATTTAATTAATATATGTTAAAATATTTTAAATTTATTAAAATATTCTAATATTCTAAATTGCTTCGCTTGGTTGATTTAAATCAATGTAATGAAGTCCTCAAAATACATGTTTTTTATTCTTAAACTATTATTTCATGTATCAAACTTTGATAGATTAGAAAGTATGGCATTAATATCTTTTAATTTTTATTGTTTGTTTTTTTAATAATATATTTATTTAAGTATATTTTTCAGATATTTTTTTTTTTTTTTAAGTATAATCCATATGGTGCACAATGAATAAATAATTTTTTTTATTTTCAAATGTTGAAGAATACGTCCACCTTTAAAGGGACATTCTTGCATTTTGTCCTAGGATTGCAATACAGTTGTTATCAGTCGAATAATCTATGAGATTAGCAACACTGATTCACTATTTAGTTATGTATGTGAATCAAAAATACATTCGCATTTCTCTAAATTTTTCAAAAATATCAGGCAATAAGCTAAAAGCTACTTCTAAACAGGAGAAATTATAGCATCCAAGCATATAGTTTTAAAGTATTTTCATATCTAACAATTAATTTTTTATATTTACATACATACTACTCAAATCTTCAATATCACAGTAAAAACATCATTTTTAAGTATAAAATACAATTTTTTATGCATTAAAATGTTACAAATATAAAAAAGATATTAAAGTGTGAGAATTTCCCTATTAATTATGTACATATATTTATTAGATTAGCCATCATTAATCACATAATTTAATAAATAGAGCCATCCTATTAAAATCACTATTGTTATAATCAAACCGACAAAACTTCCAATCAGTTAATTTTTTTCATTTTTGGTTCAATTAAATATAGTAATCAAAACGCCTTAGCTGCTTGCTTAAGTTGTATGCGATCCAGACTTCCCACTTTAAACCGACATCTCCTACATTTGTTGCAACACATACGGACTGAATTTTATGTTTAGAGTCGGGACGTAAATAAATGAATGGCAATTAAAAGATTTTTCTCATTTCTTAATTCAAGCGAATCAAAATAGACCTGCACTACATCTGACGCAACCCTATAACTTCCTAAGTTTGAACATAGCCAAATATTTTAAACAAATTTTAATGATTCCAAGTTGCAAAAATATCAAAATTACAAGAATTTGTATGCCGAATTAAGAAAAACAATGGGGGGCATTCACATACATACCAACCAATTCCTATGTATTTACACATCTAACACTACAATAATACCATCTAAATTTTTCATATCACATAACAAGTCAAGGTGGCATAAATGTAAAAAATTGAAGTTTAGGGGCTAAATATCTAAATGCATAGGGAATTGAGTGGTAGGTATGTAAATCTTCCAAAAATAATACATTGCAGCCTTGCAGGGACTCCTTATGTCAATACTAAAAAAAAGAAAAATAAAAAATAAAAAAAGAATGGAGTCTGTAGCATCAAGAGCTCTAGAAGAATAGCAGAGATATAAATAAAAGCATATATTAAAAAAATATTTATAAAAGATTGGATTGGGCTTAGGCAGTATGGTTGCTGAGTTGGCTTCGTCCGATATAAGACAATGCTCTAGAAGCAGGTAACAGCGGTGCTTCCTCATCCACAGCCGTTTCCAATGTGGATGCAGGTCCCATTAGGCTTCCCCCACCACCCCCGCTGCTATTCATTTTATCATCCTCTCTGTATACATCTGACGACTTCTTATCCAGCTTCCATTCCTTCAGATATGTTCATTCATAAAATATAAATATATCAATGGTTACCAATATAAAAAAAATGCAGCCAATCTGTGATGATGGAGCTTCAGAGCTATATGGCAATGGAGTTGAGATAAGAGTTCAAGTTCAGTTTAAGATGAGTATAATATCATGATAAATTAATAAAATTTATATTGTACTCATCCTAAAACAAATCAAATGGGTACAAAACACACTCAAATTCAATATACTTGGCCATATTTTTTTTCATTTTAAAGTACTATAGAGTTGACTTCGGTAATTGAGTTTCACGTGATGGTTATAGAATATAATTTTCATGGTTTATTGGCCCGGGGGGTATATAGATGACTGTTGTCGTATAAATGATCTAAATTGTCCTAGAAGAAGATAATGCTGTACAATCATGCGCATTGCAAATTTCAGAAAGTTTCTAGAACATAGTTCAACTGTGGTATAGCATGGATTGATTCAATACAATCAACACAAAATCCACTAAATTTTCAAACGGTTATCATTGATGATTAGGAACATACTACACAATTGCCAAGGAACTTGTTGGCTAGCTTTTAACTGAAATTATTATTGGGTTTTGCGCTACTTAAAAACAAAGTGCCCAGGCTGGTTCAAAACTTGTATAAACCTCCTCCATAAGCATTTCTAAAACTAGTGTAAGAAAATAAACTCTTCCTCGTATGTAAAAACTTTAATTTAGCAAATCTTTAGGACCTCAAGTTCCGTGGTAAAATCATTCCCTTTGCAAAAATTAGGATCTCTCGTGTCTTTCCTAGTTTTATTACATTTATTATAAGTAAAGAATTTAAGTAAGTAAAGAATTTAAGTTTTTTTTTTTTTTCTAAGGTGATGTTCTTTAAGGCAATTATAAAGTTTAAGAGAATCTTAATTTAGGAGTTTGCATTATAATTCAACATTGCCTACTAGCAAGTAATCAATTCTACATATTTTTTTAAATTGGTTTAAAAAAATTAAAAGCACAAATTCACCCATCATCTCTTGATGTGCCCCATCGCCTATCAATTAGTATCAGAGCCTCAACTTTTTTTTTCTGATTAACCACCAACAGGAGTTGGGATCCATTTTTATAGCACACTCTCCTAATAGTAATTTTGGTTATTTTTATAATATTCAAACTTATTTTTGCCAACCTTAATTTTGATATTTGAGAATATTTTTTTGAGATTTATTTGTAGCATTAATCTAAAGCTTTGGCCTTGTGTTGACTCATGATAAGGGCTAAAAGCTTCAAGTCATGAGACTTGGGGAGAATTCAAAAGCTAAAATTTGATTTGGCTTGGATCTATTGAGGCTTTGGCTTGATTTGATTTACACACTTTATTATATGTAACGATTAATTTAAAAGGGCATCCGAAGTTGGAATGTGGAAATTAGTTTGTCATGCTATCATTCAAGCCCTCAAATTTATGTTTCAAGCATATCATCATCCATGAACAAGGTAGGAACAATTTCATTCAATTTTTTGTTTGTTCCATAATCCACAATGAGATGTTCCATGCCATCAGTCAGCATAGTTCTCACCCAAGAGTCATCAAGAAGGTCGGTACTCACACAGAAAAGTTAATTTTTTGCCCCAATATTAAATGCTATTTTTCATTCCATATTTCCTCTATGAATTCCGTTATTTTGTAATATAAACAAGCTCAAGTTCATTTTTGCCCCATAGAGACAAACTAATGCTGTTGGAATTTCGATAAAATTTTGGCTTAAAAATATCTGCATTTCACTAAAAATTTCTGTAAAACTTCACCTTTCTCCTTAGATTAGGAAATGACATTAGGAAATATTCATCGACACGTGACATGTAGCTTTGAGGCATTTCTAAAAGACCCATACATTATACCACCACACTGATACCTATCCAAGGAGTGAAAATTGACATCGACTCAGCTTGGTCATTCGACAACTATGAGCTCTTACTATTAAAGGACAACCGCACTACATCAAAACTATGCTTCAATGGCTGCTACGATTGAGCTTGAGCTCGTTGGAACATAGATTAATCATAATAGCACTTCATATAAGCATATGATGTAAATGGGAATAGAAATGGAGAGGGAGATGATCGAGTTTATAAATTGTGACTTCAGAAAAGCTAAAATATGGACAATTTTCCCTATGTGATTTTGTTCGGCACAGTTATTAGCACGGTATTGGGTAACACATAATGAAAATGTTCTATCGATAGAAGGATTAAGGAATGAACGGTTGGATTTTAATTGTGCTTGTTAGACAAAAATGGATAGGCATGGAATACTTTGCATGTTAACATTAAGGCTGCTTTTCACGTAAAAACCATTAAATACTTCAGATTAAGTGGTATCTAAGTAAAGAAGGAAAAAAAAGAATATAGTGCAGGCTGCAGTTGATTTTCAAACTAAGAGGTTAAACATCAGGAAAGCAAATGGGATTCAAATGAAACTCAAAAATGTTACCTTTGTTGCTCTTTCAGGAATACTTTCCATGGAAAGTTGACTAGATGCTCCAACATCTTTCACCTTCAAATAGTTATACATCACAACCCCCAAAAGAGCTGAGAAGGAAGAAATGTAAACCGAATAAACAATCCTAGCTTGTCATAAAAAAAATGAGCAAATCAACCATCAGGAAAAGTTCAAAAAGAAACCTACCAATTGCATAGCCAATAATATTTAGACCAGTGATCGTAGATTCCGGAAACACAACGGATGAAAGGGCAATCAGTATCCAATCCTTCAAAACTCCAGCTACTCGGATAGTCACAGCTCCACTTCTACCAATTACTAAAAATATGGAGAAATTCAACGCTAACGCACAAAGTGCATTCGTGAAAAATATCCAGAAATTGAATTGAATATGTGAGATGTCCATTTCTGCTTTCTCCAATAAACACCAAGGAACAAACAAAAATACAAAGCTGCAAAATACAGAATAAAACAGGCATTGGTGTTAAAATATAAAGAGATAAATAAATGTTATTTCAAAACATGTAAAAAAATCGTATCAAGTGGTAAATAGATTATAAATGAAACAATCCCATTCGACTAATAAAGAAATTTTAAGAGCATCAAAATCAATAATAGAAAAATAATATTGATGGAAAAAACCTATGGCAGTGGAGGTAGGGGTGTTGGTGTACCTGCATGGTGCTATGTAGTAAAGGCTGGTAATGGGATTTAGAGTCAAGCCCTTCTTCTGTAGGAGGACCTGAGTTAAAACCAACCTGAGAGCTTCTGCAAATATTCCAGTAACCTGGTAAACTGTCCCTAACGCATTAAAATGAATTTCTCCATATGATGAAATTACAACCCCAACACTGACCAGCAACATATTCAAGAATAAATCACACCTCAACTTGTCAGTGCCACAAATAACAGCAACAAGAAAAGTTGCAACGGGCACTGCAATGTATGCCATAAATAATAATTAAAACTTAATATCATGATAAAGTGAATACTTAGGGTTACAGCACAAGGAAGTAGATAAAGTCAGCTCACTCAAGGCTTTGAGCATTTGAATAAATGCAACCGAAATATGCAGATATGCGGTGTTACCGAACCTAATAAACGAAGCACTGTTTAGTACAATTATTTCAATTTAGAACACAAGAAAAAAATAAATCTGCAGCATTTTTTAATAAAAATGATTCACCAAAACAATTCCATGTGCTTACCAAAGACTGGAAGCGAAAAAAGCGCTAATAGGTATTACACAGGTTGCATATCTGAAAAAAACAAAGGATTTAGTTAATAGTAGAACAAAAATAGTAAGCTAAAAATGATAATGGTTCCCTCACATTTGAAACGTCATCTTGACTGGTGCAACAATCTGTTAGGTCAAAACAATTAAAATAAATAGTTAAGGGTAATTATAGAGAAATATTATTATAATCCACTCGAAAGATAGCGTAGTGCATAATCACTCCTCAAGCAACAAATATGATATTACAGTATCTACTGTGCAAAATAGCATTATTGGCGATTTCAAAATTTCACGCTAAATAATCGGGATAGCAAATACAAAGAAATTCTTACAGAAAATAATGTATTCAAATTTCATTTTGCAATGAAATTAATGACATGCATAAGTTCTATAACTAAAATCAACTCCATTTTCCCTGCATTTAAAGTTTTTTTTCAATGTCATGTAGCAAAAAAGCATCACAGAAATGTAGGGCTTTGAATTCAGCATGAAGATCGTTACTCGCTCGAAAATTTATTTGAATTTTGTCTCGAATTGAGGTCAGAATGAAAAAAACGAGCCGGGCTAGGAACCAAAATTTTGGACGGAATTATTTTCGAGCCGACCCCAGCTCGGCTTGAAATCAAATCGTTAACAGGCCTACTAATATTTGTGTTGTGAATTTTGTGAATTTGGCTCAAAAATCATTAATTGCTCGAAAATTGATTCAAGTTTTGGCTCGGATCGAGTTCAGATCTAAATAAAAGAGCTGAGCTACAGGCCAAAATTTTGATCGAATTTTTTCGGGCGGATTTTGAGCCGACCCCAGCTCAGCCGAAATTAGATCGTAAACAACCCTACAGAGAAGGTAGATGCAGCACAAAGTGAAAAAATAGAGAAATAAACATAGGTGATTTATACTTGTACAATGAAGAGTAGAAGATATAGAGATAAAATGGCTAGATAAAATTAATATCAAATAATCAGGATAAAAAGAGTTTAATTTAAAAATGGATAAAAGTTATAAGAAAAAATAATGCACAAATTGGCCTAAACAATCATACAAAATACTCATCAGCATAATTAAATAATTATGCATTCATAAGGTCAATCCAAAATATCTAAGGCAAGACAAATGATGATACTAAACGAGAATATGCATTTTATTTTAAGCATAAACCTCCAAGCTACTTAAGCACAAAAATAAGCGCAGGTTGCACTACAGACTGTTTGAAACATTCAATCTTGATCTTCTTAAATGATACATGCTTCAAGATAAATTGTTGTCAACAGGTGATCTAAAAAATGTTCTTCCATCCAAATCTATTAATGTCAAGCTATATTGTGATGATAGAACTGGAGAACATTAGCTCATGTGGTATTGCTCCCATCTCATGGTATACATCAACCTTAAACTTTAATACTTACAATTATTTGTAACAGAGAAGTTTTTTGTAACGGAGAAGATGAAGCCAGTCGTCCAGCTAGGCCTACTAGATAGCGCACTTGGGCCAATCAAATTGTGTAAGACAATCAATCCTGAAATCTAACCAACCGATTAGTTTGATTAGGACGAATAAATGGACAGAATTTGAACCCAATTGGAAGTAGACAGAAGTGTTGCTAAAGCAAGCTGGGCCGGATGTACCAATGCCAACCGGTTAAATCAAATCTAAGCTAGGTTTTGCGTTTGTAAGAAATATTCAAGATTTGCAGGGAATCTTCAACAAACCCTCCTACCAAGCCGTGTATATAGAAATTTGCTTAACCTTAGAAAAGAAACCTCTCAAGTGGTGAAGACGTCCAACTTGTCAAAAGGTTTTCACCACGTGTTGGTGTGCTATACGAGCAACTGATAAATGCTCAATCAAGCACTGACCCCCTATTCCTCTCTTCTAATTTTAAAGCGTGATTTTAATAACACTATTCAAAAGAGTGTCGTGCAAGTTTGATCCTGGCTACAATAAAGCAAACAGTCCAGGGCTTGACAAAGGAAATTGACTTCAGTTTTTTTGTGATTACTTTAGAAGGGGTAGCTTATCCCATTCTTAGTAGTGCATTCCATGCATGATGTATATAATCTTCCTAGTTCTACTTTTATGTATCTGATGATTAGACAAGAGTAGTTACATGAAAGGACTATTCTCATTCATCCTAAATATGCTCCAAAAATTAGCGTAATGATATGAATGTGTGCCTGACTAGAAATCAAAATGTTGATTGTGGTGCTATTGAAATGTAAGAGTAGGGTATTGCTTGAACTCAGGCTTGTCACTTGTGATCTCGAGGTAATAAACTTTAACAAGATTATGTGACCTTGAACAAATAATTGTGTGGCTTAAAATCAAGCACTAATGTTCTCAAAAAATTAATAATGTGACAACGAAAAATAAAAGATAAACAAAAAGATGGTCGAGTAAATATAAATAAAAGCATGCTCAACTTTATATGCCAGAGTGGCCAACCAATCAAATTTCTTTTCCATTACATATTTGAAACATGTTTTGTCCATTTTGTCGCTTCTCAATAGTTTTACTTTAATAAGTAAAGCATTTGTCATAGGGTTTCATCTAAACTTAGTATTTTACATCATTTTGAAGAGTCATATTTGGGTGAGGCGATTAGAGACTAGTAAGAGGCCAACCAAACTTAGTCAGTCCAACCTTAATATTTAGTAATTTGTATTTTCAGCAAATATTTATAAATTGTCAATGAAGGAACCAATGTAATATTTCAATCATTATCTATTAAACAGTAGTATTTTTCTCTCTCATTGTATTGTATTGATTTTCTTCTTTCAAAAAATCCTCGCATCACTAGCTCGCTCGCTCTTTGCAACATGTCAACCAATCGACTATCTAAAGAAGAATATCTCTCTCAATTAAGAGTCGACGATCCACTCATCATGTTATCACAATAGAGCAGAATTCAGGATGCCGCTAAATATGATATCCTACAACTTTAACAAGCTTGGTGAAAAGTTGAGATATGGTTGAATAGTATTAAAGATCTAGGTTTTAGGTTCTCAGACAATTTTATGTAGAATAAGTGTAAATTATGTGGCCCATAATGCATCCACACATTAGATATTATAATATTATTAGGTGTGAAAGTTTGAAGTTTTCTTAGGAAAAGGCATTGGAAAAATAAATAAAGCCAATAATAATAAAAAATGTGTTAAGCAATAACGGGATCGAGGGAAAGAACAAGGATATCAAGATGACAACTCTGGATTCCTCTAACCCCCCCCAGCCAGTGACACACAAGTTCAAGTTGAACCTATGTGTTTGAGCTATGCAAACCCTGCTAAGATTTTGAAAGCAATAAGAAAAGCTCATAAATCAGTCCAAAAGCATAAAAACACAATTTATACAAAAACAAACTCTTTTGCAGCATAAGATTGGCTCTTGAAAATTGAGAAGATATCTAACAATATAACATGAAAAGTACAATATAAAATAGCCAAGGAAATGCTAATTTTGACTAGAATACTCGATACAAAGAGCATTAGTCAACAATAAAAAGACCAACAAATGGAGAATCAAGCTAACAATGCACTGGGAAAATAATCAGGGCGGCATTCTAAGCAATGTACAACCCAACAGTTTCCAGATATCAATATGAAGTTGGAGCCTTGGAGCTAAGTCGACTCATCCAATTTGAACTAGAATAAAAAAAAGTTTGCCTAAACAATACATTTGTGAAGATATCAATAGAGATGTTGTAATTTGGCGTTGTGAAGTATGCTTAAACAGAATCGAGGTGTTTTCTTGCAACATCCAGCTCTCTTAAGCACTAGAGTGTATTCTTACATAGCTTGGTTTTGTTGTTACCATAACTCATGTTGCTTTAGCACTCTTTCTCATAACACATGATATAATTTAATGAAGAAAACTTTTTAATTGCCCTTAGGTCACATTCCGACTCCCATGCCTGAAATGAGCATTCCACAATGTCTGCACATGATTGGTATCTTTGGAAAGGTGAACAATACCATCTTTTGAGAGGTAAACCGAAGAAAATTGAAGTATTTATCAAATTTTCTTCCCATGTGTCACATTGCTCAATTTCAATGGAAATGTCCTGGTGGGGATATCAAAATTGACTTCTAACTTAAATCATGCATCAAAAGAAAGCTTGAGATCCTCTATCTTCCTTTTCCAAGTCATCTTCTAGCTTTTTGAAGCATTCCTTGGACATAGTACCAGCAGCTTCCTCCGAGAGCCGACCATTCTTGAATATTTGTTTTTCATAAGTCAACAAGTTTTGCATGAACATCAACACCATCAACACAGCCATTGATTATAGAGAATTGCAACTTGGGTAGCCCAGTCGCTAGGTTTCCTCCATATTGCATAGACATCACAAAGTTCCCTTGCCTTTTTCATCTTGAAAGTTTGAAAGTAAAGAATGGTTCTCCAATCGCCTAGCAAACATTTTTCATCAACATCATACATCAAAGTTCATCGGATCATGCAACATAATTTGAGGCATTAAAAATAAATTAAAGAGTGATATGAATTTTTTATTGGTGGAGCAAAACTATTGTTACGAAAAAGAACAAGGCAAAACAGAGGAAAGAGAAATTCTCTATAACTTCTTTGAAGCCCCTCGCTCCAGATCACTCCCATCCTCCTTTGACATTTGTTATATTTCTCCACCTTTTTTTTTTCTTTTCTCTCTCTTCAAACATTATGATGATCCTTAATATGAGAGGAATGTCAATGGTTAAAAAAACTTAGATTTTAAACTTAGTCAAGCTATGAAAAAGCAAGACGAGTTCGGATTGCTAAGCCCAAATTGCCATTGTAATTACATTGCAACAATCATTTCATGAACGAGGCACTCGACGATCAACAAGTAAGCCCTCCAAAGATCTTTTCCTGAATAAAGAACACACTAATACTTATCAACTTTGGAAAATTCCTTTCAGCATCATCCAAGATGCCATGACCAGTTCTCTCCGCATGCACTAAAAAAAGATGATCTCCTTATCAGCAATAGAACTTCCAGATATAAAGTCAAAACTACTTCATGAAATTTATCTGCCTGTGTTCAATTTCGCTCTACCACAACTTCATCATACAATTCAAAAATTTGATTCCCTGATAAATACTAGAACCTTAAAAATAATTACTTTTCAATCATTTGGCATTCTTCTAGTTAATTTCTCAAATAACATTTTCTTATTTTCCGATTTGTTATATTAACCAACATTTTATAACAATCAGTATAAATTTAATGCATATAATTTGATCAAAATTACTAGATGTACTGCCTTTTAAAGCTTTTTATAATTTATATCACCTTTACTCTTTGATACCAAATAAATCATATAAATCAACAAAAGCTAATATTTTACTTTGATCATTACCCATCTAACAAGACCCATAACGTCAGAAATTGAGACTAAGGTTACATAATAACATTTTAAAAATAATAGAAAATAGTTTAAGACGATTAATGGGGAATGGAAAAGAAATCTGAAAGAGCACATCAAGTGCATCGAGTTGATAAAAGTCAAAACATCACTTCAGCTTTTATTCCTGTACCAGAAACACATATTTTACAACAGGAATGAATTTCATCCAAACTCTTCCTATCAAACAAGGGCAAAGAAAACTCTATCAATGCATTGGAATGTCATTTTTTTCTGTTCACGCATCCAAGAAAATAAAGAGAAATAGTTGGATATGGAAAAGCTCATGAATATAACCAATATGTATAATTTTTCAACAGCCACAATATCCGAAAGAACACACCTTTAAAACACGAACGAGAATAACAGCAACAAAAGCAGAAAATCCCATATGAATCATTGTAAGTGTTATTGGAAAGGGGAATTTGAAATACTTTGGAGAAAGAACCCACTGCAAAGATACAAAAAGAATACATCAAGAAATTATTATGCTAATTGCACAAATAAGCTGTGTATACGAAGTCAAACTATCAAATTGCAATTCTATACATAGCAATAGTAGAAAAATATACCTTGTTGTACAAAATAACGCCTGATGATAAACATATGTAAATGAGCAAGTACAAATAAGTCAACAAAATTTGCTTAGTGATCATCTTCTTTGCAACAAACTTGCAGGTCAATTAAATGTTGTGGACTAGAACCAAGGTCTAGCCTGTAACCAAAAGAGCGGGAACTGTCCTATCTTTCATGTAAGAGACCCTTTTCCATCACAAAACCATCTTCACATTTTCACATGTGATTCCTGATTTCCAGCAATAAACATAGTTACGGAGCATTTCTGAGCACAATACAGCAAAATAAAACAATTTTTATTTAAATAGGAGGAAAACGTTGAGCCAAGTTCACGTTTAAAAAGAAACACATATAACAGTGGCGTGCTATAATTTTTTAACAAAAGGTACAAAAAATTCACTGCAAAGATGAAACACGGAATACATCAACAAAAAGAAAGAACAAGAGTTGAGGAGCATGCAAAATAAAATTAGGTTGAACTATTTATAGATTACATGTGGCTAGGAAGAGGAATAGCAAATCCTAAATTTGTATATAGTTAATAAATTACATGAGTAAAATTATGTATTTCTACTAGCCATTGATGTGAACATGACTAGCAATTCCTAAAAGTATAAATTTTAAATAAAACACATGTTGAAGTGCCATTAGATCAAGAAAGGGCCGGTGGAAGTGCTAGATAAGGAAATTATAGGCCAAAGATTCGTTGCTTACAAGGAAATGCCAATCACAAAGATTCATATGCCAAAATAGGGGAAAAAAAAAGAAGCTCGCAAATTACTTACATTAATCATTAATCCTAAATGGATCAAACAATGAGTTATTAAGGTGCAGTTTTTTTGTGTTTGTTATTCTTTTTTTATTTTTCTTTCTATGAAGTTTTACATATAAATTCCATTGAAACGGTGAGCAAACCAAACTTTCCGGCCACTACTTTTCTAAACAGTATAAGAGAAAAGTTAGGGCATTGCTTTCCAATCTTTGCTCTGAAGTTTCATTCTTCTCTTCGCTATGCTTGATCTTTTTAGTTTCTACCTTGAATTTAACAATCATAAATGATAAATGAGAATCTAAGGGTTACATGCCTCATATCAACCGGATGGAAGAAATTATCCCAAGTAATCTCAAATTGTGAAATCGTCATAAATGGAATGGGAAAAATCCATTATCTAATGGATTCTCTGTCATAGCTGAAAACCCCAAAGTTTGGTCATTGAAATGAATAAGGTGCATAACCAACTGATATAACTTTCCCAATAAGAGAAAAAGTTGTAGTGGCTCTCCTAATAGAAGGACCACTCACCACCTTCTTGATCCCAAACCCCTAGCCTAGATCTCACTTTCAAATATATTATGGTTCAAAATTGTGATATCATGTTCCATGAGCTTCCTCATTTTAGAGACCACAAAAGATTATGTGTTCTCCTCGTGATTCAAGAGAGAAAATATAACAACAAAGAAGAAGAGAATCAAAGTCGAAGATGCAAAAATTTGAAAGAAGAGAAATATTTTGTTTCATTTTGTAAATCTATCTATTCACAAATTTTCAAAAGAATTAAACCAGATCTAAATTCATCTACGGGATCAAATCAAAAACTGTCAAAATACCAGTCAAGTCAATATGTTATTAAAAGTGCCATGGCAAAGTCAAGTTCAATTCAAAGTTTATATTCTACTCAAAATATCCATTATTTTGTAATATATCAAAATCATGTGATTTTTATCTCATCAACACAAAAATTCCTTCAGTTAACTATATTCACTCGACGATCATAAAAGATTAAGTGCAAGGCAACTATTCATATCTTAGATCCAATTTTTTCTATCGAATCCTTTTCAATTAACGTCTTAATTGGCAACCTTGGATAGTGCACACAACATTTCATGACGAAAACTACATAAGAAACAATGACAAAATGCCAAGGATCTTCTTTTTTTCCTCACAATTCATATTTCCTTATTTTTGTGCTATTTTCTATAAATAATAAGAAAATTATCTCACTCTTTATTCATATAAAAAAGATCACAAAAACCAAAATCCTCTATTTTCTTGTGTTGTGTTGTTTCTTCATGTTCATGTATTATTATTAGCCGATTGAATCACTTCATTCCCTTTAATGAAATTGCTAGGAGAACTATAATTCCTTCTCTGCCCATCTGAGTATTCAAAATTCTGACCCATTCAAATTGTGCATTTCCTTTTGCTGATCATTTTGGATAATAGGCTAAGCCTAATTAATAAGAAAATGAAGCATAATTGGGAAAAATGAACTTTCCTTACGGGAGACAAAGGTTGGAGATATGAAAATTGTGATGTAAAATAACATCTCAGACCATAGAAAATATGTTCAAATAAAATTCAACTTAAAATCCCAAGTGAACTAAAACTTGAATACATTATCTATCAAAACAAAGCAAGAAAACAAAGTGCTGGCATGTGGAAGGCATTGACAGAACCATAAAATAGAATACTATCCTTTGAAATGGCACATAGTTTTGTAGATAAATTTTGATGAGTGAGGACAATTTCTTGTTCAACTAAATAATTATTCATGCTTGTCCAGTTCAATAAGCAAACCATCCAACCTCAACTTGTTTACTGAATGACTCAGACATGAACAACAGTCGATTAGGCAAGACACAATAACAACTTTATATGTGTGTGTGTCTCTCTCTCTCTCTCTGTGCATATAAATATATGTATATTCTTCAATTTTCAGGAATTGAAGTATTAAAATAAACATAAATACTTTAAAAAAACATTTATATTATATATTACAAGTACTATGGTCATGGAAAGATGTTAAAAAAACAACCTTATTTCATAAAATAGAGGTCATCAATTGTAAAATTGTCTCCTAATTTAATCGCCATCAAATTGCCTTGGCGTTCATGTTGAGAACATGATCAATTGTATAATAAATGATAAAAGTACATAATAAATGAGCCAAACACATAACAATTTTTAGCTTGTTGCTGAACTTCAGCTCAATTGTATTTTCTCAGTGGTTAATGAATCAAGACAAACAAGGCCCCAACTGTGCATCCTTAGTGACAAAGCCAGATGAATGTACAAATCTATATTAGGAATTGGTTCATCACTAGTCAATAGATCCAAGGTTGGCTGTGCAGTAATGCCCGTTCACATAACCAACATCAATACAAGCAGTTTAGCATGTGCGGTCTTGCAACTGCATATCCAGACGTAAATTTACTAAAATTTCTTATCCAGGTGTTTAACAATATTAACAATAGACTGAAGAAAACAACAAACATGCAAACTTCCCATTTCTAAATGTATCAAGCACAAGCACAGATCTCTGAAATAATCTTCAAAGTTTATAAACTAAGGAGTACCGGATTTATATAATGCACTAAACATGAATGACGACATAACAAAAAGAAGATCTCAAGAGATTAAGCACACAGAGCTGATATCACATGCAGTAAAATTAAGTAAATATCGGAAATACAACAGAATCTAAAGGGTATGCAACTACCTTAGCTGTATTAGACAAACAAGCTGTCCGTCGGGCAAGCAAACTTATCAACCGATCACCACTCGACGAAGATCTGCTACATAACGATATAATGAAAGAGGTTCAAATCAAGCAGCAGCTTCGGTCAGCTCGTCAGAACAACAACAGAAAAGAAAGTTACCCTCTGAAGACCCTAGTGCGAGAAGCGTACAAGATCGTTGAAGATCCAACTCGGCGGCTTCTTATTCTTCCAAAGGCAGGAGAGAGAAAGAGAGCCGACTGGGATGAGGAATGGAAATGGAGATCGCCAGAGGAGAGCGCGTGGTTCGCCGGGGACAAAAAAGAAATCCCCAAACTGACTGAGAACTAGGGTTTACAGTAAATGGCGCGTAAATGTGAATCAGGCTTTGCAGCAGACGGCATAAAGTGGCGGTGTATATACTTAAGATATTGAATTGGATGTGGAAGATAAATAGTTCAATTTTCATTCCAAATGCTGCTCAAAATCAAAATCATCCCTATTTTTTTAAAAATTTACAAATATAGCACAAAACTCTTATGTATTTACATGTCTCCCGCCTATACTTTCATATTTAAATATGCAAATCACTTTGATGCTTTAAGGGTCTGTTTGGCGCAGCTGCATATTATTTTCAGCTGCAGCTGTGCTGCCCCAGGAAACAGCTGTAGGAAAGCAGATGTGGGGAAGCTGACTGTCTGTTTGGTGTAGCTGCGTGAAAAATGCTGTGAGCCAGCTGTTTCATGTAAAAATGACCGAACTGCCCCTGTTTGTTAAAATCGTTTAAAATTTATGATTTATTTGTATAAATATGGGTTTAATATACATAAAATTTAAAAAAATATTATTTGTTAATTAACTAAATGAAATATATTGTTTTTAATATTTCTTTTTATAGAAAATTATTAAAAAAAATTTGTAATTTTGAAAACATAGAGGTTTTAAATTAATATTTATCTATATATCAATGTTTACAGATATTTATTCTTCTATACATATAAAAATTGAGAAATATATTTTTTAGAAGCATAAAATTAATTCTTCATGTTGAATATTTTAAAAGTTGATATAATTTAGAGTATTTACATAAATACCACATAATTCATGTCTCAACATATTAGACACCTAAAATTACATATTTTCTTGGATAACACAATTTTTCAACATCATATAGTGCATGACAATCTAAATAGCTTCCAGCTAAATGCAAATAATATAGGGCATTATAATCCGTAAAATGATCTTCCATAATCATCTATAAAGTTATTTATTACCTCATCAGTGTCAATAAGGTAACTTCTACTACGAAACACTCGCAAGTTACAAATATTTTGTCTTTCTAACAAATTGAAAATCAATCACATATTAATCAATGTATTAGTAATTTGTTCTCGAATTGTCGTTATTTTAGTCGCACCTTACCCTTCCTTAGTACAAATGGTTGATTGTTCGCTGTCATCTCGTATCATAGAACTACCAATATGATTTTCAGATGGGTCTTCAACTAATTCCTGTTGGTTTGCTTTGGCATTGAGAAAATCAACGTCATATCGAGACGGGTGCCGCCTAATATAATTGTGTATTGTCATTGTCGCTATCACAATCTGAACTTGTTTTGGAAATGGGTAAGGAGGCATATCACGTAATATCACACATTTCTTCTTTCAGACACCAAATGTCCTCTCGATGACGCCTCGCAAAGAGGAATGTCTTTCGTTGAATACCTCCTTTCTAGTTCGTGTTACATTACTTGCTCGTTCAAAATCAGGTATATGATATTTGGTATCATGATATGGTTTGAGATACCCTTGCTGCAACGAATAACCGGCATCTACCAAATAATACTTTCTTATAACTTGTTTAACCTTCATTTTCACATTTAAACATGAGTGTTGTATCATATTCAATAAAAGCAGAAAAATTAAGGATGCATAAAAATGAAAAAATGACACAAAATTTAACGTGGTTCGGTCCATATGACCTACATCCACGGCAAAGGAAAGTCCACGGCAAAGGAGGCCAACAACTTAATTATAGTACCAAAGAGGAAAATACAATGCTTTGATTCATACATTACTCCCTACCCGGAAAAAAAAAAACAAACAGCAGCATATATACAAAAAACAGGTGCTATGAAGGAACCTCATACAAGCAATCTACCATGAATGACCCCCATCCCAGCAAACCAAGTGCTGCCATGAATGAACCCCATTATTCCCTACCCAAAAAATGAATGAACCCCATCCCAGAAAACCAAGTGCTGCAATGAATGAACCTCATTAATCCCTACCCGAAACATGAATGAACCCCATCCCAGCATATATGAATCTTTGATACTTTCAGATGCATAATACTTTACTCCCTCTCACAGAGCCCTTCGAATCCTGCAGACAGTAGTCGGGCAGAATAGAAAACCAACAACATATCCAGTGAAGAAGTAAGTCGAAGCAAAAAATACAAGCAATCTTCGAATATGAGCATGAAATGAGAACCTCAAATTTAAAGTGCAACATAGAAAGGAGATTCTTTTGAAGGATATTGCTACTCATATAATTTTCAAGCCTTAGCTAAAGGTCTCAAATTACTACTCCTAGATGAGAGCCCCAAGCTTGAGAGCCCGAAGCAAAAAAAAAAAAAATTGCTGCTGTAGATTCTCAACCACCTTGCCAAGTCATGGAGCAATGCAAAGCAATTTAGGTGTAAAGATAACATAAATAATAACCTTACAATTGCTTATAGGATCATACCAAGGTACCAAGATCTGTCATGAGGGATTACACATGTTTTCTACCAATCAATATAGAAGAGCTCTTCAAAAATACCTAACCATTATTCAAATGTGAAGCAGGCATGAATATTCAGATTCTCAGGCATGTCATACATTCCCACACAACAATTGAATGCATTGCACCAAAAGACCATCTTATAACTACAACAAACAGAATAATAATATCAACGGGTAATGAAACAAAGCAGAACCGAGCCCCAAAGCAAACTCCAAAAGACTCAAAGAATAGCATTAAAGAAGCTAAAGATCCACAACAGAAAAGTAGGAAAAAACCCACAGCCTTTTTCTCAACCAATAAGCTAATGGGTTGAGGCAGCAGGGAAGTCATGCATTTATATTACGAATAACAGGGGAGCAGAACCGAGCCCTCAAACCAAACTCCAAAAGCCTCAAACAATTATTTCATTTTGCATATGTTTTGAATGGGGAGACAACCATATAGAGCAAAACCAGGCCCTTAAAACCAAATTCACTTGCTCGAATATGCTTCAAACAAAGAGGAAACACAGCAGCATCAAAACCAAAAGTCCCAACGTAAAACTCCAAAGCTACAAAACAAAATGATACTACACGTCTGTGTTTCAAACAGAAGGGGGCAACAAAGAAGCTAAAGATCCACAACAGAAAAGCAGGAAAAAACCCACAGCCTTCCTCTCAACCAATAAGCTCACGGGTTGAGGCAGCAGGGAAGCCACCAAGCCAACACAAAACTCTCCAAAAGCCTTCAAACAAAAGGTAAATCATGCATTTATATTACGAATGACAATATGGGTGCACAACCATATAGAGCAAAGATCTAATGAAACATGGTTTGCAAATCCTCAACCACAAAACAATCTAATGAAGCTCGGCATACATGCAAATATGGGTGCAGGATCTACAATTTCGCAAAAAAGCACCGGAAATCTCTCAGATCCGATAATAAACGAAGAAAATGGCTCGTCTTTACCTGTGCTCTGTCGATCGAGGGACAGCGAAAGAAGGAGGAGAAGAGGACGCGACGGAAGCAGCGGGGAAGATCCTAGGGCAGAAGCGAGAAAAGGGTAAAAGGTAAAAATCTCTTGGGAAAGCGGGGCAGCGGGGTTAATACCGCTTCCCGCTTTCGCTCAGCTTCCGCGAATCCAAAAGCCAAAAACCAAACGCTAACTTTCGCGAATAATCGCGGCAAAGGCCCGCGCAACGCCAAAAAATTCCTCCCAAACGGAGCCTAAATCTTATGTTTGAGAATGTGTGTTATACTTCTAAAAAGAAATTTTTTCTATTATTAAAGATGTTAGGATTATATGTAATATATGAAAGTTTAGATGCGAGTGTGTAAATACATAAGAATTGTGCACTATTTATGTAAACGTCCCTTATTTTTTATACATCATAGAAAAATCACTAATTTTGATGAAATATTTTAATATTTATTTTAAAAAAATTAGAATAATTGGAACTTTATTTTTCTAGCAAGTTTATAGGTACTAAATGCTAAATGAGAGGAGCCCAATAGCTAAATATAATAATATTTTACTAAATGTTTAATGAGATGAACCAAAGGGCTGTGCAGTGTTTATGCTAAATTAGTTCAGTATTTTGGCTGATTGATTCACATTATGCAATAATTTTACTATATTGTTTATGCATTGTCTAGTATATATAAATTTATTTGACATTTGTGATACACTCAGTATTCATCACATCATAACAATGACAGTATAAAAATTATACATAAATAAAAAATAATGAGGTTTATAGACTAAATCATTATAATCAATTAACATGCATAAACTATTATTACAAGTGAATTCTACCATGGTTGCATGTCATTTCTTTTATGACAATATATTGTGATAAAGCTTCTTAAAATTTTTAGGATAAACACATAGTAAATTAAGTAATTGCATATTTAAATCAAATTAAATTTTGAAAAATATCATGAGGGCAATTTCATTGAGGCCCATCTCAATGCAAATGCCCAAATTGAGCAAATCACACATAAATAGCTGGAGTTTTTGGTGAACTTTACTTGAATTCAATATGAACTAAAATTGCAAAAAAGACACATGAATCAAACAAATAACTAAATACAAAATATAAAGCAAATTAATAAAAAAAATGAAATTTTTATCCCAAAAAAATCCCAAATAAATAATTGTAGGAAAATCACTAAAAAATTAATCATTGTATTTCCGCCTTATTAGAATAATATCAATATTAATAAATAAGATATATTAGCCTATTAATAATCTCACATTGTAAATAAAAAAAATGTTATGATTTCTCTTTATAAATAAAGTCGAACTTTAACTCAATCCTGCTCAATATCAATCTTTCACTTTCTCGTGATGGATATATGGAATACAACCTTCTTCTTGGCTTATGATTTGGTAGTAACAACTTTTAAGCAAATATTTTCTATTCCCGTTGATCACTACAAAAATATATAGAATGCAGAATTTCATCTAGCTTTTCTTTTCTGCGCTAGGAATATTTTGATGGTAATGATGCTCTCTTTTGGTTTTTGCCACTCTAGTAACAATCTTCTTGTGGTTCTGCCCAACTTTTCATCACCATCATGCAATCATTTTGACTTTTTTTTTTTAATTTTTAAAGGCGGCAAATTTACAACTAACACGTGTACATAAGCGTATTACAATATTTTTCTCATAAATAATTGTGGTATATCAGATTCACGACTAAACTATCTAAATAGACATATTGCTTCATCAATAAAAAAAATTTTCACAATAATTTCTCTTACAATAACTGTTTATTGAAATAACTATAGCTACCCCAGACAAATCCTAAATCTTTTTTTTTACTTCTTAAAGAAAGCCTAGGTACATTCATGAACATAAAACCATTACATGCATCAAATACCAATGAAAAATTAAACTTAGGGTTAGTTTGGGACAGTCTTCTGTCTTTGTGTTTCAGACCGTCACTACAATTCAATTTAGAAAATTGTTTTTTAAAAAATTTTTGTGATGAAAAATTATATTTTTCAACTTAAAGAAAAAAAACATATATTTGTAATTTTCATCCCATCTCTCCAAAAAATTATTCTCTCTGCCACACTCTCCTTGAACCAGCTCACCAGCAAAAAGCAGAACCACAAATCGACACAGTGCCCAAGGTGCAGTCCAATATCTACATACATTCCGACAGTCTATAGAAAAGAGAATTTTCTGCTGCTGAATCGATAGGAAAAAAAAATGCTGACTTCAAAGATGGAAAAAGCCAGCCACGGAGCATGCTTAAATAATGTAAAGAGTACAACAATTACCAATCGAAGCACGATATGTTTATCTGTCCCCGAACATTCCATCCACCCCCTACCAAAAAATTTTACAGCAATTATCCTGCAAATATTTACCTTCGAAATCCATGAATATACACAGCCCTGCTCACTACAGAGAACATAAAAAAGCTTACTTTTTTCATCTAAAAATAACGGCTTCCATTTACAAATTCAGTAATCATAATTCGGAAGTCTAAACTCTGCCTTGAAAAATTCAAAGCTAAGCCTATCGACACTACTGTGATTTCTGCCTATTGATAGTTAAGCACTGCTGATGTTCCATAAGAGGTCTCTTCGCCTTACAAAGAGTACCATTAACGCCATAATAAGCCATTGTTGCCGACGCTGTTGCAGCCTGTGCTCCTGTACTGCAATGATGCATCGAATTATGACTGTTCAAACCATCACCACTTATGATAGACAGCGGAGGAACCAACAAAGGCTTCATCGGCGGAGGATTCCTCCACCGAGGAAGCGATCCGGCGACGAAAAGTGTGTCGAGAATTGGTCCCGCGTCGATCACAGCTTTCAAAAGTCCGCCTTTTTCGGGCAGCGGCTTCTTCGCAAATCGATCGAAGAGAACCTTCATGACTTCATCTTCCGCGCTGGTCGGAGAAGCGCTGACGTTCATCAAACGCTGCTGAGGCATCAAGACTTTGCAGGACTCTGTAAAGTTCACGATGGAGAGATCAGGGGAAATGGAGGCGCCCTCGACTAAGGAATCGACGACGGTTGGGGATGAAACGCGGGACTGATTGTTGTGAAGATCTGTGAGGTTTTCGGAGTCTGTTAAGCTGGAGGAACCGAAGGCTTGCAGAAGCTGCGGGCTTTCGGGTTGGAGGAAAGGGGCTGAGGAAAATGGTTCGACGGAGTTGGGATGTGTGAGGTTGTTGAGAAGAAGCTGAAGCTGCTCCTTGGCTTCATCTCTTTCGTGGTTGGCTGTTTTGAGCAGCTGAAGCAATTGGTTGATGTTTTCTTCTTTTTTTCTGAGTTCATCTCTGGCGTTGTTTTTTACTTCTTCAAGCTCGCACATGGCTGTCCATAGCTTGTTTTTCAAGTCTTCGAGAGTCTGCGGAGATTAATGTTAATATTAATGAAATCATATCAGGTAGAACAATGAGGCTTTTGCATATATGATATATAGCAGTCAATTCATATGAATTTACATATATAACACCTAAATTTTCCTTTTTTATACATGTACCGCCAAAATCTTTAGTACCACAAGAAAATTATTACTGTTATTTCAAATTGTAAATTACACATTTTGCATATGTAAGATGATATGTATGTAAAAATTAAAACTTTTTGAATGTTTTATCTGCAATTAAACATTCAAATGACCGTGTAAGAGGCAAGTTCCGGGGAGTTCAGTTCTTCTAATCAAAAAAAGAATTGTTTTTTTTTATGTTTCGGACGAGATTTGGACCTAATTTTTGGGCGAAATTAATGAAAATATATATTCACCCAAATTCATATGCGCTCTGTTATGATGACAATCAAAAGAGCAAAACATTATTTCCAAAAGAAACACAGAACATTAAATGAATAGAGCCATTTTACTTCGATAGAGCAATCGCATGGTTCCCAAACAAAAGTATATTCACAAACATTACTTTTATAGGCCCTTTTATGCAAACCCGAATCCAAAATTGATTTTTTATGGATTTTTTAAAGTATTGCAATAGCACCGAAAACAAAAAAAGCAAAAAAAATCTAAACTTTAGGTAACTTGCAGAAAAATTTGACCAATTTATCCTCCTGAATAACAAAACCAGAAGAAAAGACAGGCTTTTAAACTTACTCGAGGATTATTTAGTAATGACCGTTGGAAAAAACTTTACAAAAAAAACTATTAATTGCATATCTATCCATCATTCTAACCAAAATCTCAAAAAATCGATGTGCGAAAACAAAGCCATTCCGATTTCTGTGCATAAAATTCAGGAGAAACTCTTCAAATAGATCCCTTTGGCCGGAAAGCCATGTTCCCCTTTCAAAAACTCAACGGCTAAACCACCAGCCTCGCAGCTTCTTTCCGGCAAGCTCCCCCTCCCCGCAACAACCGCCGCCACCAAACACAATCATAAAGAGAGATTGAGAGGGACACGAACCTCTTGGTAGCCCCAAAGAGTAATGGCTGAATAAGTTTCCATGGCTTCCTCCACTTGCAGACCGCAAAGCCTTCAATACATTAAAAAGCAGTAAGCGAGAGAGGGAGAAACAGAGAGAAGAGCCCACACGCTCTCTCCTCTCCTGGGCCCTTGCTCTTTATATAAAGCACCCTCGACAAATTTTATCAGCAGTAATATAATATAAATAATTATTTATAACTAACAAACATGAGAAAAAAAGGAGCTCCTCCGCTACCTCTGTTGCCTTCTTATTTTCAGAATCTGAACGCAAGAAAGAAAATATGTGATTAAGGAAGGCTAAATTCTTCTATGGCAGGTTGTAAACTTGCTTGTGACCCTATTTATTATTTCCACCGCCCATAATAAAATTTCAAATTTCAAAATTTTAAGAAGTCATCTGATAATTGCTAGTATTGCGCTCGGAGACTTACCTTAATTAAACTGTTTTTAAATTCTTATTACACGATTCAAAATCTGTTCTGTTATAGCTACTTCAGCGCTTTCATTATTTCCAAAAAAAAGATGTAATTTTTCTTTAAATTATTAAAAAATATCCTTAAAAGTAAATATAATATTAATATTTCTCAAATAACTCTGAATTTAAGTAGAAATATTAATGCAAATTTTAATAAAATAAATTTATATTCTCATTATAAAATTTTAAATATAATTCATGTAATTCAACGCTTGTTTCATAACAGATCCATGTTTCATTAAGGTTGTTTGGAGTTGTATGGGTAAGGGTACTCGAAATGTATTTGCATTACAATGTAATTCATTGTTTGATTGATTATGATTAAAATTTAAAAGCAAAATCAAAATTTTTGTTTGATTTATAAAACAAGATTCACTTTTTTTGGTGAAATATAATTTTAGTGGTAGTAGCTCTAGTGACAGAGTTGTAACTATGGATGATCAAAGTATTAAAATGGGTATATTGTTCAAAATGATGGTGATATTGAGATGTTATTAGTATAACTTAAGTTGGTTAGTTCAAGTGGAGGAATGTTTTGGGCCTATTGTGTGATAGAAAAGTACCGCTTAGACTGAAAGAAAAATTTTATAAGATGGTCGTGCGACTTGTAATGCTCTATGGCGCTGAGGTAACCTAGAAAAACTTGGGCTTATTGTTTAAGAAAATGATCTTAATTGATTAATATTAAATGAAAATATGACACTCAATAGGTCGTAATAGAGAAAAAAGATTCATGCAGCCAACCCCACTTAGTAGGATAAAGATTTGTTGTTGTTGTTTTTGTACACATACTTGTACATGCTATGATAAGATTATGGACATAAAGTATTGCATTTGTAATTACCAAACTTTAGCTTTTAAATATGAAATGCATATATCTGTATCTAGTATGTTTTATGTTCTACAAATCGAGATATTTGAAAGTCTAAAGTCGATGTTGTTATACTTTGTGTTCTTAAGGCAAAAAATTTAAGGACGGTGTAGTTAAGCTCCATGTCCCATGGACTGAAAGGTTTGAAAGTCTAAAATCAGTGTCTTTACACTTCCTGTTTTAAGGTGAAAAGTTTAAGTACGCTGCAGTTAAGCTTATATGTAATAATTTTTGCACACACAATCTTTATGGAAATAAGGCATTGCAATCTGAACACCGAACTTTAGTTGTTAAAAGTGAAATACATATGAAGTATGCAGTATGCAGTCTAGGGGTGTAAATGAACCGAACACGAACGAACATAGCTTGTGTTCACATAGCTTGTGTTCATGTTCGATTCGTTTGAAATTTAGTTTGTTTGAAATAAGCTCGTGTTCAAAATTATTCGTGAAGTAATTATTCGTGTTCGTTTCTTAACGAACGAGCTGAACACGAGTTGTTCGCGAACAACGAGCAAGTTTGACATCCCTAATATTAATATATTATATTAATTATATAACTTATAATATATTATATATTATAATTTCTAAAATTTAATTTTTTTAAATATCATAAATTTTTATATATAATTATTTTAAGTTATTTTATATTTCAAACAATAACTATTCAAACACGAACGAGCGTATCACTGTTCATGTTTGGTTTGTTTAACTAACCGAACAAAAAAAAATTGTTCACGTTCGTCTAGTTTACTTATCGAATGAATCGAACACGAACTCATTGACGAACCGAACACGAACTGTTCACGAATAACGAGCTTTTTTGACGGCCCTAGCATGCACGTAACATTATAAATTAAAACATCTAGAATATCAAAACATATTTTTATAATATAATTTGTGAACATAAATCTATATTATTAAATGAGAGTTGATAAAAGTATATTTTTCAGATAAAAGAAACAATAATAATCTGATGAATATTATTCATATACATTTTTATAACTAATTTCTTCTTGTTTTTCAGCATTAACTCTATATTGCGTGAAGGTCGGATGGTAAATTTCTATAATTAATTTAATTAATTAAAAATCTTGATATCCCTCGTTTTTTATGTTATTAATTCGAAAGAAAATATATTTTCAATTTTAATAAAATTTGCTGATTTTCTCTTAAAACAATAAGAGCAGTCCTTTATTGGTAAATTAAGTCTCTTCCGTGTAAAGTTGAGTTATAATGGCATAACATGCATGATCCTGTCTAATCTTTCATAGGTGCTTAGCTTATCAATGGCTATCCACATGCTTTCAACTTTGAAATATTGCTTTTTTTTATGTAATAATTGTATTTTGTTTGGCTACGACTGACTCTCACATATTTTTTTTATAAATAAAAAAAATATATATATATATATATATATATATATATAAATATATATCAATGCCTATTTATTTCTAACCTAAAAATAAATATAGCAAACTTCATTGATTTTTTAAATATAATATCGTACTTTAAACAATCAAATATAAACACACACAACAACTGCAACAACTTCTTGCTCAGTAAGTGGGGTCGTATACATGAATCTTTTTTCTTCATTGTGTCCTATTAAGTGTCAATTTTTCATTTAATTCTAATAAATTAACTTCATTTTTTTATGCATTATGCCTAAGTCTTCTTAGGTCTACCTTTGTCTTTCTTAACATAAGTCAAATCTAAAACATCTGCTCTCTTAACATGATCATCAGACGATCGATGTTTAATGTGATCAAACCATCTAAGATGATTCTATATAATTTTGTCTTCCACTGGAGCTACACCAACACTTTCACTGTTACATTCGCTTCACATTTTGTCTCTAAATGTCAATCCACTCATCCACCTAACCGTTCTCATCTCAGCAACACTTAACTTAGTTTTATGCTTCTTTTTTAAAGGCCAGCATCCTGCATCATAAAGCATTGCAGATCTTACCACCATCTTATAAACATTTCCTTAAAACTCTATTTGGTAATTTTCTACACATAATAGGCTCCATGAATTCCTCCACTTCAATAAATTATGTTTTCATTTTTGAGTGGGTGGCAGTATTTGAGTCAATATTAGAAGCCTTATGGTTATTATTTTACAACACTTAATACGAAATCAATAATTAATTTCATATGTTGTTACTCTAAATTTATAATTAAGCAGTAATTAATTAATTTAAAAATAGTATTTGATTAATTGAACCGTGGAACCTAAACTTCAGCAAATACACCTTCCATGTCTTGAAAGCAATCTCCAAGTATTTATGACATCTTGTCACTGAAAACTGTGACTCAAGCATCACTGGAGAAACCATACTTAATTAGCCTAATTCATATTCTTAATCATATTTAATTAATGTAATCTTTCTCTGCCTATCCCTTAGGCTTGTGGTGGCTATGGTTGCTGTTACCTAAAGCGTGGCAAAGTGCTCATGCTAAGCCAAACAAAGCAACAGTTGACCTACCCTCTAAATTAAATTTTAATTTATAAGGGATCTACACTAGATTTATTGGGACCATGGGTATGACATCACATGCATGTGTGAGCAATCTACTTAGTCATAGCATTATATGGTGTATTTGCTATTTAATGCTAGGGTTATTCTCCTCATACTTGGTATTATATAAAATTCATCTGAAATTATAATATTTCTCTCTCTCTCTCTCTCTCTCTCTCTCTCTCTCTCTCTCTCTCTCTCTCTCTCTCTCTCTCTCTCTCTCTCTCTCTCTCTCTCTCTCTCTCTCTCTCTCTCTCTCTCTCTCTCTCTCTCTCTCTCTCTCTCTCTCTCTCTCTCTCTCTCTCTCTCTCTCTCTCTCTCTCTCTCTCTCTCTCTCTCTCGTATTTGACATCTCAAAGATCACTAACGAATATATGAAAATGATGACACAAGCAATAGTAGTAGTCAATATTTGGTTAATAATAACAATCTAGTGTAAATTTTCATGTTTGTTCAAAAGTTAATTAATTATACAGGATTATAATAAAAATAAATTGAGCTTGAAATGTGGAGTTAAGTTAAATTAAGTCAACTGGTCTCTCTAAACATTAAAAATCTAAGCTCAGTTATAATTGTGTCAATGTAAAAGAGACAAATGATAATCTCTAAATAGACCCCATGGCTTGCACTATGCTTGCATCAGAAAGAGAGAGAGAGAGAGAGAGAGAGAGAGAGAGAGAGAGAGAGAGAGAGAGAGAGTAATTAAAATAGTGCTAAACTCATCAGTTACTGAGTAGTCATTTGAAGAGCCCTCAAGTTTGGCCATCAGCATGGAGCTACCCAGTGCACTAGCAATCTCAAATTACACAAATTAATGTGCATTCATACGAGTTTAGAAATCCAATAAGTTTAAGATTTCTTAGATTTGTCTCGATCTCCTTGATCAAATCCTCATTTTCTAATATTATTTTTGATAAGGCTCATCTCCTGAATAAGTTATTATCCATGTTAAAATGCCATGATATTTTTGTAATCTCTGACAGCTCAAATTAGAGATAAAAAATTTTCTATAATTTCACCATTAATCTTCGATGCATCCATAAAAATGGGATCCTTATATCAAATTCAATGATGTATTCCTGCAACATTGTCATGAAATTATAATTTACAACATTAGTTGGAGTCAATTTAGGTTCAGCAATTTATCAAGTTAATAAAAGGGGAGCACTGTGTGATCATAGCTTAATAATTAGAGGATGAGATTAATATCTTCCAATTTCTTATAACTATTAATAACATGCAAAATAATGACTAATATCTTTTATAAAATTATAAATAGTTTATCATTTAACTTAAATAGGAGTTTCTAAAGAAACAATTCAATTATCAATGAAATTTGTATCCAATATCACATTTCATATTTGCATGAACACCTGCTTCCCTTTGCATTTGGCATGAATTTATATTGTTTCAACTATAAACACACACACACACA